CTTAGATTATTCTGCTTAAATTAAGATTAATTTTTTGCTTAGAAATTTTATTATTATTTTTTAATTATTATTATTTTAATTTTATTATTATTATTAGTATTACTATTATTAATTTTTATTTTTATTCTTATTACAATTATTATTTAAAATAATAATATTATTATAACAATTTATTATTATTATTTTTATTGTTATTATTAATAATATTATTTTACAATTGTTATTTTTTTATTATTATTATTATTAGCAGTGTTGGAAACTGGCTTCATAAATGTTTTGATATTAAATAAATTCTTTCATTTAAAGCTTTCTTTTCATCAAATAATGCCATTTCCATAAGGTGACAAATTGATTTTTATAAATGAACCACTGCTATTACTGATTGAGTTACAGTAATAATACTAATAATAAAACTGCAATTCAGCATATTCAACACAATCTCACGGCAATTCGTAAAGTGTTTGATTTAATGGCTAATTTGTATGAATTTGTATGACCTCATTTGTATAATTTAGTATGATTTGCTTATCACCCAATGACAGTTGGGTTAAGGGTCGGGATTGGGTGCCACGCCTCCTTTTCAAAATCTTACATTTTCGTAAAGCTGAACTCGTACGAATTCGTACCAATTAGCTACTAAACTAACAAATATAAAAAAGTTATGTTTCCTCGTGAGATCAGGCTAGCATATTTTGTAATGATTTCTGAAGGATCTTGTGAAGACTGCTTTGCTATCACAGAAATTAATGGAATTTTAAACTACAATCCAGTTAGAAAACCGATGTCTTTAATGTTTAAACTAACATCAATGAGCCGAATATGCTTTAAAATTTTTTTAAAAATCTCACCATTAACAACATTTTAACTGGTCGTGTACATCTGAAAATTTGGGGAAATCGCTCTTTCTTTCTTTTTTTGAGTTCCATTAGGGGCTTTTATTACAGAAAAGACGACTCTTTCAGTTACAGAACAGTTTAAGTGTTTTATTTTATCCTAGGGAATTATTTGTCCACTTGGCTTCTTTGGTGACATCGTGAAGTGTTTATCTCTATTCACAAACCAGCATTTGTCTTTGAACGTTTTCAGTGTGTCATGATAACAACCGTTCAGGCTTTTTTTTTATTTCTTTTTTTTATTTTTTTATACATCCATCTGGGACCAGTAAGTATTTCCGTTTCACACTTTGTTTGCTACTACCTAAAATATTCGACTGCACAGACTTCTGTATCCAAATATATATATATATATATATA